ATATATATTAATATATATTAATCAGCTAAGGTGCATTCCTATTTAGACTTCAGATTTATATTAGTAATGGATGCTTGCTTGATCACAGCGTTTTTTGAGAGAATTCCCTTTTACAGAGGTAAGTAAACAAGGAGTGTGGTAGCTTGGGATTTGCATGTTGGCATTCCAGGTGTTCTTCAGAGTTTAGTTTTTTGTTCTGATAACTCTGAAACTGGGTCTTCCTATTAAGCTAGATACTTAGGATTTGGGGTTACCTTAGAGTTTGTACTCCAGAGGGCTACTACAGAAATGAAAATGCAGTGAGTCCATACTTACCATAAGCAATGACTTTTTTCTGAAAGTGTGACTTTTTAAACCAAAGAGTTCTTTGAACTCTTTATTCAAAATCTGTAACTGTGTTGTTGCTTAAGTCAAAATAATATGGAAAATCAGTAGTTTCTCCTTGCCTTCTGCTTAACCACGTGTCACATACACACGTATATGGGTTCATTTTCTTGAATTTTTCTACAGTGCTCTTTATTTCCCCTCTGGTTTCAGAGTGTCACATATTTTATCACATTAGTAAGAACATTGGGACCCCTTGATCTGTGAAAACACTTTTAAGTCTCATCATTTTACTGTTACTGGATCTATATTGAAATATTAACTGTCTTCTTTTTTTTTCTCGATGTCTCCTAAATTGGGAATGTTATGGTATCAATACAAATATAAATTATCATATTTTTAATCTTGCTTGTAAAGCTTGTGTGTAAAATCTAAAGGATAGTATAATGATTACGGGGTATTCCAATCTTTCAGCCCCCATTTTCAGCAAATGAATTTAGCGTTAGCACAATAAAAAATTCTCAAATTCCTTATTGGCAGATATTGCTAGTTAATTAAATCAATTTTAAAAGTGTAGGTGGGGCCGGGATTTAGCTCAGTGGTTCTGCCGCCTGCCTTGCAAGCTCAAGGACCCAAGTTTGATTCCCCCCCCCAAGAAAAGTGTAGGTAAAAACTTGTAAATATTACACTTGATCTTAGCCAAGGGCTGAGGAGCGATAAAACTTGTAAATATAGCTGGGCATGGTCAATTTAGAAGGATGAGGCAGGAGGATCGCAGTGAGTTCAGGGCCAGCTTGTTGTACTATATAGTGCAGTCTGTCTAAAAACAAGAACAAAACAAAACCCCAAAATCCCAAAACAAAAGCTTGTAAATATTTTAAAATATGATAGTTTAACTTTTAAAAGTTACGGTAAAATATGTATTACATAAAAATTGACATTTTGACCACTTTAAAATATATAATTTAGTGCCATTAATATCATGTCCAGAACTTTTTAATCATCCCCAAATAGGTAGAAATCCTTTAATTCCCCATCCTCTTCTTTCCCTTATTCCTGTCCACCACTATTCTACTTGTAGTTCTGAGAATTTGCTTATTCTGGATCCCTCACATAAATAAAATGATAAACATTTGTCCTCTGTGTCTCATTCGTTTTGCCTCAGCATCATATTTTCATAGTTTATCTGTGTTGTAGTGTAGGGTACCTCTGAAATTCCTGTCTCATCGCTGTGTGCTGCGTTCTGTTTCTCCATTCACCCACCACTGGATATTTGGGTTGTTTCTGCCTTCTGGCTACTGTGAATAGTGCTGCGCTGAACACGGGACATGCAAGAATCTGTGTGAATCCAGGTGGGCTGGGGTTGTAGTTCAGTGCTTGAGTCCTTGCCTAGTATGTGCGTATGCTGGGGTTCAACCCCCAGTACTGCTAATTAAATTAAGCAAGCAAGCAAATAAATAAATAAAGGAAATTCTTAGAATGCCTCACTGCAGTTCCTTTTGCTGTACTTAGCAGTGGACTTGCTGGGTCATATGGTGATTCCATGTCCACCCTTTAGAGGAGCAGTCAGACATTTCCACAGTAGTTGTACCACTTTACATCCCCACCAGCAGTATGTGAAGGTTTTCAGTTTAGCA